GGCAAAAGATGGCACATGGGCTTCTGGACCCACAGAGCATGAAAGCTGAGTCCCATTGGGTAAGAGGGTTGCTGGTGGAGTGCCTCAGGGCACTTACTGGCAGAGCTAAAAGAGCTTTGTAACACCTGTCAGAGCAGGGCGGACACCAAGGGACTGCTGGGCAGAGGGGCAAGGGCCAGAGAGAGTTTTGTCTGCAGGTACTGCTGAGAAGAGGTTGTCCTGTTCGGAGAACTGTATCCTGAGTAATTTCTGATCCTGAATTGTAACCTGTTACTTCCTAATAAACCCATAATCATGAATATTATCTGTGAGTTCCAGGTAGCCATTGCAATGAATTATCAACCCAATAGAGAAGTAGAAAGTGCCATGAGATGGACAATTGGTGTCAGAACTGGTCAAAAGTTTGGAGCGTTAGGGTTAGGGGACCTCCGCCTCATAGGAATCAGCCTTGGGTTGGTCATAATAATCCTCCTTCCCCTTGTGCCGTTGGAGGAGGTCAGACGCCTCCACCGTGCCATTTTTACCACTATCTTTGCAACTTTTCTAAATCTAAAATTATTCCAAAGTAAAAATTTATTTAAAAGTTAAAAATGTATATACATAGGAATAGAACAACCAGAATGCAATTAAAGAGAATGTTGACACATTGTGAAAAATTTAACTAATGTCACTGAACAGTTTGTATAGAAATTGTCAAATGGGAACCTAATTTGCTGTGTAAACTTTCACCAAAAACATATTATTTGAAAATACTTATGTATATGTAGGGTCCAAATGTCTAGACTCAAATCAACAGCATTATATTTTCTGGAACAAACACTGTTTCACAAGGACAACTATACTCACAAGTCAGAGGAGCAGAGTATATGGAATGTAGACCATCCCACAAAATTCACACCCCTGAATAAAGAGCCAAAACAGCCATTCTAGGCAGATGATTTGGTTATTTAGATTGAAAGTAGAAGCATTTTAGACAGAGAACATTGCTACAAAATCATTATAAAGGAAATAGAAAATGGGTCCTGTCAAGACCAAACACAGGGACTATTGCACTGGTGACAAAGGTACCTTTATCACCCTTCCTGCTTTTCAGACCTGCCTCCCTACCTGATTCTAATGCTCCCTATCACTGGAAGGAAATCGCTTTACACCCTCTGACCATTTAGGCTCAAGTGT